GCCAGTTACCTTGATCAAGTAGTCAACTGCAGTTTCATTTTCTCATGCAGTGAGCACTGGCATCAGCTCAAACTACTGCAGCTTCCAGCTGTAATCTGAGCCAGCCATACAGTAATATCTTTCTGTGTAGAGACCAATTCAGAACACGTACAGCCCTTAAGAGCCTACTTGGGCTGTGACTCCTAAAATTCTTTGTTTACTTGGTTATGAAAATATGGAATCTTCTGGAAAAGTGTGGAGACATCCAGTAGCTTCAGCTACAACTAAAGGCTTATAGCTAAGCTATCTAGAAGGCCTGCTCTGAGCATGAAGTGACAAGGCACTAGGACCCAGGCTATATTCACATTCCTATTTTTGAACATGTTGTTCAGCACAGTTGGTTCAGACACTTCAGATGCTCCAGAGAGGTTGAGAGGCAGAGTTCATCTGACCATTGATCAGTCAGACAGTGATAAATCACTTGAAAGCTATCAGCGCTTGAAGGATTTATATCAACTCCAAGTTCTGATCACATTCTCTGCTGTCTTTGGCAAAAGCTGTCAGAGACAAACCTGAAAAATAAGAGATCAAGGCGAGGATAGAGTATTAGTAAAGCTTCCAATAGCTTAACTTAGCAACACATTTTGCACGCATGTATAAAGCAATCTCTGTAGTACCATACTGCCCAGCATCTTCAAATGCAGCAATTTACACCTGAGGCTTACCATGCTCAGGATGCTGTAGATGCAGTCATTGTGCTTCAGCAGCAAGAACCTAATCCTGAACACTACATTCCAGTCAGAACCAATTACAGCTTGGAGTACAATTTGTAAATCAGTGCCCTAGCACTATCAACTTCGACTCAAATTTCAAGAATTGAGTTCTCACAAGCATTGTGCATCATGAGATCAAGCTGCTTCTACATCCTCTTCTCCTGTTGCAAACACAAAAGGGTAGGGGAGCAAAATACTCATTTGCCTGCTGTTCCATCAAATAAACATGAAGTCTACATCTGAGAAGAGTCTATTGCAAAACCACTTTGAGAACAAATTATTTCTCTTCCTCATTTGTCACTTTATAGTATATTTCATGGACACAATGGGATCTGCCCTCCTCCCTTGGACACACTGCTTTCATGAGAAAAACTAAATACGTTTACTTCAGATACACCTTTAGAACTTCTTGTTCTTAGAATGCTTGTGTGCCCTTCAAGTTGTAAGTATAAATCAATATTTCAAAACACCCCTTAGCTTTTATTCTCTGGTAACATAACAGCTTCTTACAAATGAAGACCACTGACTATAGTGCTAGCAGCAAGTGCACCTAGAAGTTATCTTCATTTAGAAGAGCCATGCTCCCACATACAATAAGCCCAATTAGGATGGTATTATGCATTGGGAACATGTAGTTAACGCCCTATTTTGTAAGCTACATTAAAGTCTCCAACAAAGACCTAAAAATCAATTGTTAAGAACATACTGCAGAAACTCATGAGGTAAATATATGCATTCACAAGCTGAATAAAAATTGTTTCTTGAATTTCAGTCCCAGAGTGCCAATTTCAGAGGTCCAAATTTCTATAGCAACATTCCCATTAAGCACCAGGAAATGCTGGATTAGACCTACTTATACTGCAGCATAATTTTAATTATGATTCCAGGAAGCCTATTTGAAAAGCTCCTGCCTTTCAAAGCAGTGATCTTTCAGGCTGTGACCAAACAGCATTTAAGCTTTTAAGAAAAGAATTGCAAGTTCTTTTTCACTATTAGCTTCAGGACAGAAAGAGCAAAGTTGAATACAAGCTTCATGCAAGGCAAAGAAGAGACAGACATACCAAAAGGCTCTGGGACCTTGCCTCTGTAGTAAAATGGGTCTTTAATCTATAAAGATCTTGATCTGGCAATCAGCTAGTCTCGTCCACTTGAAGTTAAGAATGACGTATAAAAATGCAGCAATACAGGCAACAGAAAAACCAGTGAGTCATGTTACTGATCAGTCAAACATACCAGTAGCCCTGCCAGAAGTGGTCACCGCCACTGGCCATTAACCAGTGGTCCCTGACTACCAGAGGCAGCGTGTTCCTCTACCCTCCTCAGAGGGAACCATACAGTCCTACCCTGCTCTAGAAGGTATGAGGTACCTGGGCAACACATTAGCAAGAAGTTTACCTCATGCAGTGCAAGTCTGCTGCAAAACAGTCCCAAACCTGCATTCCATAGAGATCTGTGAAATAACAGCCTTAATCTGCTTACAGCTTGTTACTTGCAATACAGATCACACTTACAGCTTTATCATTTTCTGGTCAATCTAGTTCAAAACCTGAGCTAGGTTTTCTACATGAAATTTCAATGTCCCAAAATCTCTAATGATGGCACGCTGGACTCTGTTGTCCAAATGACAGAGTTCCACTACAGCTAAACTCTTCTATCTGAACTGCTGTGGGTCCTAGCCTTCCTTATCACATCAGCCCTCCACTTTGTTCTGTCAGCAGCTGGGCCAACATGTGCCCAGTAAGCCAGCTTAGGCAGCTGACCCAGTCCCAGAGGATAAAGCAGTGAAGGACACAGTCCCTCTCTCCCCTTGAAACCATCATTATCTTAACAGCTGAGTTACAGCTCCTACCCTTTTGTTACAGGCAGGGGAAGTGCTTGATCAAACAGGCAAAGCTCAGCCTTATGAAAGGGAAGTCTTTGCTATCCCTGTTACCAACAGCATAAAGCATCACAACAAGCGATAAGGCTGAGAATGCTGCTGAAACCAGGGCTTATTTCAACTAGAAAGCAAGAAGCTTGGTACACACAAACGTGAACATGTGATTTAGATAAGGTGCTATGAATACAGCTCCTTTTACTTAACCTCAGTACTCTGCAAGTAAGCAGGATTTAATCTCACTGACAGGCAGCATCAAATTCAGAGCTTTTTGGGTTTATGGATTGTATACATCCACACTATAACTCTAGCAAAACAAGACAGGGTACCAATGTTTAGAGTTAGAAATAAACTCAACCCCAGCATACTGAACAGATAACTAGCAAGTAAAATGGGTAACATGTCAGAACTACCTAATTCCATTAGAAAGGTAAATTAGGTTCACTCCTCTACACAAAGAAATCAAACTAGATAAAGTTCTAGGTAAGAACAGGGTGAGCCATTTTCTTGCATCGGTAATCACAAGTTTTACAGAATCCCTGTTTTGCATGCAATTATCTGGGTCTGCTACCCTGTAGTCACAGGCAGCAAATCAAATGGTAGAGGTGGAAGGCTAAACAAGACTACAGCAACAGAGTTAAGCCGACGTGAAGCTGCCTCAAAATTAGAGATTTTAATGCCACACTGTACAGACATGCAGAACTTAACGTATTTTCAGCCTTCAGAAAAAAACAAATATGCTGATTTGATTGATTTCATTCACCTAAAAGGTTCACAGGTAAAATAAGAATTTTGTCCTCAAGAGTTAAACCAGGCATCAACTAAATGATGCAGACCAAGAGCAGAGAGAACATGTTATGATTACTGCTCAACACCACTGCCACTGGTCAGGAAACAAAGCTGTCTGCCAATGGCATCACTGTTGTCACCAGTAATCTGACAGACCAGATTTGCTGCTGGATGGTGTACAATGGATGGCAAGCCTATGACATCAACATAATAAATGCCATTAAGAAGCTGCACTGTGACTCCAGAGGGCTCTTAGCTCTGCATCAGTGCCTGCTCTAATGCAATCAGACACTCTACCTTCCTCTGAACACCGTTAGCAATAGTCTGCTGAGTCATAGAGCCTGTAGGGACACTGGGAACTACAGGGCCTGCAAGTGCAAACCACAGTCGACCAGCTGCAGAGCAGATCACTCCAACCTCAAAAGCCAGCAGCGCAGCACTGTTAGCCTGCATAAAAAACACTTGGCAAAGCCCTTTAAGCCCCAGTGAAACAAGGTAAGCCTTATCTGAAGGACACAGCATCTCAGTGTCTAGTTTAATGCAGCAAAACTTCATCCTTTTAAAATTGTCTTCACAATTCTTCCATACGCTTACAGAAAGTTCCCCAGTTTCCAACCCTCTCATGCCAGGGCTGTAACAATCTACATGGAACGCCCAGAAACACATTTGCAAGCACCTTGTCATTGCAAAATATCAGACATAGGTAGCATTAACTTTAATTGTTTGGCTTCAGAAAGTTCTACATTAGTATTTTAGAAAAGGTTAAGAACATTAAGAACAGGACACACAAGAAAATATTTCAGTGCTAGCATTCAGAGCAGCTAATATGTTTAATCTCCTTCAACTGGCACAGGTTAGTCTCAGACCATACCTTTCCATCAGGATGGGTGTTTCCATTTATCTGAGCAATTTTTTGCCCTACAGCACTTTGTATATGCCATCTTTTCAGTGACAAGAAGCTCTAAAAATTAGAAGCTCAAAACAATGACACACATACTCTAAGCCAGTGGTTATTTCAAGACCCAGCTCAAATTAGACTAGAAGTAATTACAAGCACACCTCACCATGTTAAAGGTGCACAAGAAACAGTAATTCAATACAGATTACTTCCATCTGAGGGAAAAAAGTAAAAGTCTTGCTAGTAGAGCAAGCCAGACATCTGCTTTAGAAAATTAATCCTTGAGAAAAACACAGCATGATTAAGAGTTTTTTCAGTTGCCAACACCGAATGGTCTGTGATTTGTGCTGAGCTCCTCACTGTTCTTACTTTGTTGTAATGATTCTCTTAAGCATAAAAGCTTAAAACATTTCCTGGATTCACATTAATATCTGAATACTAGCAAGAAGCCTATTTTGTTCAAATATTACTAAAAAGTCACATTTAAAAGTGAAAAATGCTTAATAAAAGATCAGACTTGTTACTGAGACAGCTACAGTACCCCTTGGAATGACCTCTTCCAAACAAAAGGGAATATTCATTATTGACCTTCAATGCAGTGAATCAATATAAAGCTGGCAAAGCAAAAAGGCGGCTGCTGCATGTAATTTAATAAGCACAGACAGGAACAGGAAAACAAACTGACCTTATGTTTAGCATGCCGAAATTTCAACCCTTCCTGCTCTTCATGCTGCACCGAGTTGGCTCTCTCCCTCACACTTCTATACCCAGGACTGGGTATAATGTACTCTTTTCCTATGTCGATGTCTTTCATCTTCTGTAAACGCCAGGGTTTACACGTGTATTTTCACCTCAAATACCTGAAAAATAATTAAATTCCACTTCATTATAAGCCATGCCCAACACAACAGTTCCTTTTAGTCATCTATTTCTAAAGTTTATTTTTGAAGTAAAAATCAGAAAGCAAATGTAAATGAGTTTTATTACAGCAGGACAGTAATAATGTGACTTTGGAAACCCACACAAGACTAACTTTTGAACTAGTTTAAACGTACCCTGAGGTAACCAAATAGTACAATGACTCTCAATGCACTAGAGTACTGTCATACTTCCTCCTTTGAACTCTGAAATATGATTATGCAATCTGACAGATTAAAGTAAGAGCTACAGCATCACGTTGAAACCTTGAGAAGATTGACTTGGAAGATCAAATCCCTGAAACGTTTTGTTAGGGTCTAAAGTTGCACATACCCAACAACTTATCAGTAAGAAGTTTTGCAAAACTGATCTCTCTAAAGATATCACATGATAAAATTAGTCACTCCACACACACTCTAGAGAAAAACATATTCCTTCTCTATAGCATTATTCATTTACTCCATAGGCTTGAGCTACCACTAAGTATGAACACACGCAGGAAGGATTCGCATCTCCAGTGCTGCAGGGTTCCCTTCAGCCTACCAAACCGCACTGTAAGGTCAGAAGCGGAATCAGAGTCCCGAAAAGAAAAATCACCTCCCGCTGCAAAACTTTGTTTTTTAACTCTGCTTAATTACACTGTGTCACTTCTTGCCCTAAACCAACACGACAGAAGAAGCCTGATGAAGTTACATTAGTCACGATCTGCATCCGCAGGTTCGGCCTGGCACGCCGGGCCGCCACCTCTCCGTGAAGCAGCCTCCCTCCCCAAGCGAAGCCCTCCAGCAGCCAGCCCCGGGCTCATCGCCCT